CCGCTCGAAAATGCACCTTAATTTTGCACTCATGTCATGTCAGATTTCCAACACAAATTATTTAAAACCGGTCGAAATTTTAAAACTTTTACGTTAGGAGCTGGAGCTCTCTCCTTGCAGCGACCGTCGCCGGTAGTACAACAGCATGTTTTGTACTAGTACGTACATCCGTGCGCTGATTGTCTGCAACTGTCTTAGAAAATCCCTGAATAAGGCGTTACCAAAATCGGAAAAAATAAAAAAATTGCCTCCTTAAAAAACGAACAGAATTCAAATATTTCTTTTAACAAATATGTTGCAGTGGGAAAATGGGATTGGACACGCTGAACAAAATTCTTGGGATTTAAATTAAAATAGCTGATAGACGCTTTGATCATTTGCCTCGAAATTTTCACACTTTATTGACAAGGTGTTCCCCCTTCAAAATGCGTCCGGACAGTTTATTACGACGAGTGGAGCAAAAATAACAAGTCCGCAATTAACATGGATATATAAATTATGCAAAAATAGAAAAGAGTGAACTTTGAGGTCATGCTGTGCGACTTTGAAAGCCGTTAGAGAGATGAGTGGACGCATTCGAATTAGTAGTATACCAAGGTATCCAGTGATGTAATTTTATCCACAAACGGACTTTTTGAGCTAATTTTTTTTAAACCACTTTTGTCCAAAAAAGCATATTTTTGACCCAAAATCAAAAACGCATTCTGGATATTTAAAATAAAGACAAGTTTTACAAAGTTTGTATAATAAGCTTTCAGAAAATATATAACATGCTGGATATATAATACCATCTTCATTGTCTCATTACTCAATTAAAAAACAAGCCAAATAAACTGCATCTCTCCCTTAATTTGACTTGAAACTTAACTCAAATGTCGTTTTTAGTACACAACAATCATTGACTTGTGTACAGGTGGGCGTAGGAAATGAAAAGTCTAAATCCGGGTTCATTAGTCTCTGAATCCGGGTCAGTAGTTTCTGCATTTCTGCTTCAGTAATTTTGTCCGCAGTGTTCTCTCAGTGTTCTCAAACGCTGTATACGCTCTTTGTTTGTTGGGTATGTCAATATTTTTACGGCGACTTGAAAATGATGACGACAATTATCTTTGCTTTGTCGCTAGGACAAATATCTCGCATGACTATTGATAAATCAGAAATGTCAGATGCAATCGACTCCACGTCGTCTTTATCTCACGCTTCTGTCAAAAACGTTAATGTTTTCTGCGATGCCCAGGTGAAAGTTGGCTTCGCTGATGGGATAGGGGTGGATTACCCTCTCCCCACCAGTGATATGTTATATTGGTGTAGGATCGAGTGCAGTCAGTTAATAGGGCGAGCTATTGTGATTATTATACAACAAAGAAAGAAAAACACAAATACTTAGCTCAGCATTGTTCATATAACAAAGTGTCAAGAATGTCTGTTGCGTTCATGTCATTTCATGAACCGCTTGCACAATCCATCTATATGACACGGTGAACCCGGATGCAGACTTTTCATTTCTCACACTTACCTGTATGTACACAAGTCAATGATTTTTGTGTATGAAATAAGACATTTGAGTTAAGTTATATAACTTCCCGGGTGTGTTCACTTTATTTGAAAATTTCACACAATGTAGGTGGTGTTATTCTGATGTTAATTTATTATTTGAATAGGCTTAGAAATATGGCTAACACGCTGTTTGACATACTGTTACAAAACTATCAATACCAGTCTCTCTTTTGTAAGTAAACAAGAAACCCACATCTTACTGTAAACAAGTCCGCAATATCATCCAGTGTACATTTTACCGACAGTTACAGTGGTAACAACTCTCATATAAACACATACTGTTCAGTGTTTTGTAAAATGATATTCAAAGTTAATTAAGTGGGGATTCGGACATCGATATTCACAGCTACATTTTACTTTTATTTATTCACTTATTAATCATATAAACTAAGCGAAGCGTTTAAAGCGTTTTAGTGTGAAAAATCTGTTAAATTGTACAGTGTAATGTCAAAACGTTACTGGGTATATTACTCATGGGTTTTAAAACGAACTTACGTTTATCACAACACGTATCCCACCATTCATCTTCACAGCTACACGATGACGTCAGTGGAAACCCATGATCATTGCAGCTTGCGTAGTTACATTCTTGGGATTCGCTCATATGGTAGGGACACGATCCGCCACAACTCTGACCAACAGTTACGTAACGTGTTCTTGTCTGTGTACCGGACGTGCCACAAAGAACCGAACATGCACCCCAGGCACTCCATCCACTAACTTGACAGTTTGAAGGACCACATCTACGTCGTCTCCAGCCTTCGGAGATGTCAAAATATGCGGAAAGCATCAAAATGATGACACAAATTGCGATGAGTTTTCGGTACAACTTCATACTAAATATGCCTTTTGGGATCGGTCGTTATTGAAAACAGGATAAGCCGTTCTGGCTATGACTCTACTAGATTTTATTACCCACTGTTGCTTTTGACGTCAGAGATTCGAATTGCGCATGTCCAAATAGACATTTTAAAAGCGCATTCGCAACACCTCATTTCAATAAATATCTGGTTATTGCCACCAGAGATAGAAAATTAATAATGTTTAGTAATAATATGCACTAGGTCAAAGGTCAGTTTCCTTAAAATAAATATAGTTGCAGCCGTCACATTTAAAAAAATATCATGCGTATGTCTTGTTTCAGTTGGAAATAATTTAAGTTTACAGTATCGTTTTAATCACAACGTGTCCATGTATTTAGAACCGTCATACGTTTAATCCAGCAGACTGTGATAGTCACACATTTTGAGGTGGTAGCGTGACACTTGGTACACATGTTATTACGATTATGTTAGTTCACGTATTGAGTAGATTTCTCTAAAATCATGATATGCAGACATTTCAAAGAGTTTAACAGTCTTTTTTTCTAAACCTATCGATATTTCCAACTCTGGAGTAGAAAAATGAAATATGCTACACATGTTCTACACGAGATTATTTTCTGATATATTGAATAGCGATCACTTGTCTCCTCTTTAATTTTTAGACCAATCATAATTGTAAACTTTATGCTAAAAGCATGAACTATTTTTATTCATGACCTTTGTCACAAATATCCGAGTAATTTTCAAAAATCCGGGACCAATTTCGAGTTTGTTCATTCAGTCATATGCTACACATTGAGCAAATTAGTTTGATTTAATTGATATATTGATTTGTGATTCTTATCGGTATTTAAAATAGATTTTAAGTAAAAATGCGAGGATTTGGATCAAATTATGCAAATTAAAGTAGGGCAATCCCAAAAAAGAGAATGTTAAAAAACTTTGAGTCAAGGAGGGCTGTGGAAGTGCGTGGTATACTAGTATAATGTTATCTCACCACTATACTATGCAGAGCACCATTTTCATTGTTTGTTTGTTTGTTCACTGTGATAGTAACATTTTGTAAATACATGTTCACAATATACAATTCTCACAATATATTGTAAGAAATATATTGAGAGAACTTCACTTTTAGGTAATTAATACGAAATCTGTATTTATTACCTAAAAGTGAAGTGGCAATCATTTAAATTTCTGAATAAGTAATCACTTATTTTGTACTGTTACTTATTTGATTGGTTTTGAGTTGTGTTTATAAATAGTTGAATAATAATACATGTTCGTGAGGGCAATAATAACAATCATGATGATAATAGTTTATTGTCTTTGCCTTTATCTTAGTCAGTGAACGAATTAAGAGTTTCGCCGCGACAGGACAGAATTCTCTGGCATGTTCTATAATACGCTTTGAATTGACAGGCTCTTCCAATAGTTAGTCGATAGGTGTGGTTCACTATCGTTGCTGCTAGGGAGTCAGCCTATAAGTGTATACGTGTGGTTCAATGTCGTTTTTGCTGGGGAGTCAACCGATGGGCGGATTCACTATCTTTGTTCTTAGGGCTATTACCCCGCATGACTATTGATAAATCAGAAATGTCGGACGCAATCGTCTCCACGTCGTCTTCATCTCGGGGATCCACACCTCTGTCAAAAACATGAAGGTGTTGTGTTTCCTTTGATGTCCAGGTGAAAGTTGGCTTCGCCGATCCGGTGGAGAAAAGTCGGGAGGGAATACCCTCTCCTCACCAGTGATATTTTATGTTGGTTCGGGTGCAGTCAGTGAAACAGGTGATCACAATTAGTTGTATTGTCGCAGGAGTTCAGCATTGCTCATACTGAACAATGTCTATGTATATAAATACATGACACAGTGAACCCGGATATAGACTATTTATTTCCCACGCTTACCTGTTCTGTGAATAATAGCGTCCAGTTTTTGACTTCGATAATTATGCCCGAAGTATTAATTATTTGAATATGCTTAGGAATATGGTTAACACGCTATTTGACATATTGTTACAAAACTATCAACATCAACAGTCTCTCATTTGTTAATAACAAGAAACCAACATTTTACAGGAAACAAGGCCGCAATCTCATCCGGTGTACATTTTACCGACAGTTACAGTGGTAACAACTGACATATAAACACATACTATTCAGTGTTTTGGAAAATGTTATTCATTGTAAATTATATGGAGATTCCGACATCGCCTTTCACAACTAAATATTTACTTAGTAATCATAGTAAATAAAAATTAACGTGTGACACACATGGAAGCGAGAACGTATGAAAGCTTGTATGGACTTGAAGTACTCAGAGATGAGTAAAGACACTTTTGAAATCTTAACAGATGTGTCAACGGTCTTATATTCAAAGGATGTTTAGATCACATTAATTAAAAACAAAGACCGGTAGAATAAAGTATAGTACATACAATAAATTAGATTTAGCGACACCAGATTGGTTGCACGTGTCTCGTAAACAATGCCATCATTGCGTTGTTCCATCATTACTCGTCTATGTTTTTACTGTGAGTATCAATGTAATTGCTTTACTGTCAATTTGACAAATAAATTGATCAGCGTGAGATCAGAAATCAATTCGCATAATCAAAACTAGGAACAATAACACCACAATTGTTTGCACACTATGGCACAGATGAGTACCCATAGTGACCGTCCCGCTAAAATTATCACAGTAAGCGGTTTTTGAAAACAAGTCCTAGGACTAATTTGATGCTGCATAATACATCAGACTGCTGTCAACAGACTTTATTTGTCAACGCATACAATACCAAGAAGGCCAATCCATGGCTTTCGTAATAGCTTTTTCTTAAAAGTCAAGAACAAAACAGAAATAAAGAAACTGAGATCAATCATAATATAAGAATATATAATAGTTTTATAAAACTATTCAAATAATTAATAACTTCTGGCATATAAAATATTACAAAATATAAACGTTAATGATGATTTTCATGTAATTGTATTGGAATATCATTTAATAATTATGAAACATTTTTTACATACAATCAGTTTACATCTATATACAAAACGCTATACAAATTAATGCATAAACGGCATCCCATAAATTTAGATATTGAAATACAAGTGAGGTTGATAATGAAATTTACGGAGAAATCACTGAATGCCTTCGATTGTAAACCTGATTTAAATATTAAAATAGCTAATTCATGAACAGTATCTGTTGTGGTCACGTCGTGTCTTGTGCTGGTCTGATAATCTACGCAATGCCATAAATAATTCCATGACACGATGTTTATCTGTGCACATCAGCTAATATTGGTTACACTAACTACGACAGAGGGGATCTAGCAAAATGTATGGGGGGGGGGGGTCCAGGCCTATAAGTCGAAGACACGGGACCGTGCGATTCGGACGATGCTATGCGTAATCCAGATGCATTTTCATGCGTTCCGGGGGGCATGGCCCCCTGGCCCCCCTCTGGATCCGCCACTGAACTACGACTACTCATAAGTTAGTACGTAGCAAGTAGCGTTCATAGTGAGAAATTAACCAGTTCCACGCGATGGTACGATTCAGATAATTACAATTTATAAACAGATGACAAACACATATAATATAAAATACAAACAAATTCACTGAATCCCGTGGTTGACCTTACCTTCCCGTGTCCCCTGAGTCACGACTTGGTTATATGAAGCCTTAGACGCGTTGCGCAAACAACAATTGTGTTTGCAGACTCTATTGATCAATGTCCAAAGGTTCGAAATGAAAAGAAAACTACGATATATTTCAATCCGGGGACCCTCGAACACCAAGGATGACATGATGTGAGGTACCGGGCTTGATGCCAGGATTCTCCACCATATGTTATGAACACTATCGTTGAGGAAGGGGGACTTCGTCTCACTTGGCTGATAACACTTACACGTAGAGATACCAGGTTCGATCCAAATGAATACACATAAGTTCATTACAAATAACCGAGCTTTATTCATCCAAACAGTCAGCTGAGGTGATCCCTCGCTATCCTTTGCTCCTCTTTTACCAAAAGTTAAAAACTCTATCTTAAAACTCAAATCTCTAAAGCGTGGCAGAGTAAACTTGCGATCAGCCAATTGCTGCAGTCATTGGTACGATCACGTGATTAGCAGGGACGTGGCTCACGGTTGATGCCTTGCTAAGTTGTCACTACTAAATACAATAATTATAAGTAAACAATCTATTTATGAAATTCATGTAATATATGTTTATAATATCCACCCTAAACATGCAAGTTGTTGATTTTAAAAAGTAGTGCAACGGCGTGTGAACAGAATGTACGAACGTGAATTCGCTATGGTAACACTTTAATTATAGTGGGGGTGGACATTAATTTAGTTAATTTAATGATTTCATTCGGCTTCATTTCCCATAAAAAGACTACGATGTCATCGCCGAAACAATTAAACATTATATTTGCTATGTGTACCCAATATAATCATTGCAATGCCTAAATTCATTCACACGGTGTATTGCGAAGACAAATATTGATTTAAATTCTAGTCACGTATACAGTGTAAGTAAGCACATTCCTATTTTATCTGTTTGACTGCGGGCGTACATGTCTCGACCATTTACAATAATCGAGGCTGGAAGATTTGCCTAGAGGTAGACATAGACAAACAAAACTTGCATAGACAAACAAAATCCGAACTTACAATTTTTACTGTCTATATGTACTTTATATGCACTTCTATACGTAAATAGAAATATGTCGAATAAACAATATTTAAAATAAAATACATAACAAATAATTAGACAACGGATAACGTATTTCCTTTTTAGAGTCAACAGCTTGCTTAGTGTACCATCCCACCAAAATGAATGTTATATTTTACAGTGGCATGCGTCTTTTAGAATTTAAAATTTACATGTATGGGGACAGTATTATATCAAATAGAAACTGAGTTAGGTATAGGTCATATTAACACATCACATCTAAAACAAGTTTTTTTTGGATTTAAACCCCAGAATTGATAGGT